ATGCAAAATCTGCCGACATCGAAAAATATCGAGTACTGTGATATGGGGCCAATAAAATCACATTATCAGCAGTGAATTACTCTCTTATAAAGAAAAAAGAGTTTTTTGCCTTTTGACAAGGTATTTTACTCAGATATACAATGGAAAGTTTCATGGACACATATGATACAAAGCATCATGACTTATAATGAGCGGCTTAATCTGAAGTTGTGTGGAGTTTGTCCGTTACGAAATTACAGTGAGGAATGATTTACGATACTAACATCATGTGAGGTTAAGATAGCAAGTATGGTTCATTTTTAACTAAGGCTCACGTTGCAATGAACCGAACAATGATTTGAGAGACAAGCTCTCAGAAAGTGAGTTTACCACGGTTTGCCAGTGTGAACCTCTGCGAAGCAGAGGTGAAGCACTGGCATCGTGAAAGTTTTTTTTTCATTTTTTTTAAAGTTTTTTTTTCGGAAAGTTTCATGGACACATATGACACAAAGCATAAAATGATGAAAACAGAAAATTGTCCACAGTAGGCATAGCGAATGATGATGACATCTTCATGGCGCTCTACACTGCATGCTTGTAGAACTTGAGCAACGCAGACATCGAGAGTTATGACGGGGCCACGATGTTCAATATGAAATCTTGCAACGAACCAAAAATACCTAAAAAAAATGAGAATATAGGGATAGAGAGATGGGTGTATGAGTGGGAGTAGCTTTGTAATTATCCCGACTGTGCAGCAAAAATCTTTGTTGTGCGCAATGACGTGGTAGGTATATATCGCTTATATATTGTTTTGAATGCAAAAAGAAGATTACATCCAGTGGATGTATTAGGTGGGACCAAAAGTTCTGTCGTTTCATTTTCAAAAATTTGTAACTTTGCGTGTTTCAGCGGATTTGCTTGTTTGTAATTTTATTAGAAAGAATAGGTCTTTCGCTTTCAAACGCTTTTTCGCGAAGTTTCTGTTTCACACTGGATGCGAAGATAAAAATGGAAAAATAAGACCATGTAAACTTTGACCATTTTGAGTGAAGTGACCAAAAATCTGGAATGCTGGGAAAAATCTGAAATCGTCAGTACATATGTTTTTTGGCCTATCCTTTGCATCTGTGAAAAGTTTGGGCTGTTTGGATGTCTCTGTGGAAAGTTATGAAAATCGAGTTTACTATGGAAAACGCCAAAATTAATTAATTTGTCAATTTTCGCGAAAATTATAACTTCTCACAGAGACGTCCAAACAGCATAAACTTTTCAAAGTTGCAAAGAGTAGACCAAAAAACACATGTACTGACGATTTCAGATTTTTCTGCAGCATTGGCAGATTTTTGGTGACCTAACTTAAAATGGTCAAAGCTCATATGGTCTTAGTCTTCCATTTTTATCTTCGCACCCAGTGTGAAACAGAAGCTTCTCAAATAAGCGATTGAAAGCGAAAGACCTTTTCTTTCTAATAAAATTACAAGCAAGCAAATCCGTTGAAATTTCGCGGAGTTGCAAATTTTTGCAAATGAAACGACAGAACTTTCGGACCCACCTAATATTTTAGCGGTAGTGCCAGGAGGGATACTCTTGTTACCCATCTGTTGGTCATTTGACACAGCATGGGTGGTTTCTTAAAGAAGTCCATCACTCTGTTAACCAAGAGCACGCTAACAGAATTTGGGGAAAGCAGCCACTTGTTATATGCGTGGAATTGCGTAGCTGTAGATCCTCAGCACGAACGTAGCCTGTGGAGAGCATCCTTGTTTTGCCTGAATAATAATTGATTCAGTGAATTTGCATTTTGTCGAGTACCTGCATAGAACAAGAAGTTCTTCCCTAGGCGCCAGTGGCGTACTGAGGGGGGGGGGGCGTCCCCCTCCGAGAATGGGTCGCGAAATTTTGAAAGTTACTTATATGGGTTATAAATGTACAAGTAACTTGTTTATAATTGTAAATAATTGAAATAATTTTTTAAAATTTTTAAAAATTCAATTTAGCCTTGTAAAAAAAATTTTCGGGGGTGGAGACACAAAAATTTTGAGAAGCACCCCTAAAAATTTTCCGGAGTGCGTGGCTAACGCCACGCACCTTCATTCGAAAAAAATTTTTGTCGCCCCCTCCCCCCCCCCCCCCCGAGCGGAAATCCTGGGTACGCCACTGCTAGACTCCCATCCGCAAAAATCGTGGGCATGACCGTGAAGGAATGGTCTGGTCGGTAGCTGAGACTGACTGAAATGCGCGCAACACACTCTTTGAACTTCATAATGGCAGTGACATACTGCATTTCCTTTGAGAAAAATCGGCATTGCAAATGACACTGAAAAACACCGCTTCATTCCTTATATGAAACTCGTTAATTTCATCACATTTCGAGAATAAAAGTTTTTTTTACATGCTTTCATCTCGAGTAGGAAGGCGCGCGCTGTGGCTCTAGCGGACGCTTACAGGTAGTTTATTCCAGAGCCAAAACCAGTGGTGTGTCGCGAGACAATATCACTCCTTATTTTGAACTCCTGGATTCAACGGTTGCCAGCTTCGAATAGCTCAACATTATTCTTCATAATTTCAATGCGAAACGACAGATGTCATTGTAGTGCAATGCTACATCCGTTTTGAATCTCTGATACAATTCTACGCAACTTCCTCAAGTCTCCTCGAACTTACATTTCAGTCTGCTTGAATGCGTCCTAAGCAGAGATTTTTCAGCAAGCTTTCGTTCCGCCTTATCAACCGACTTTTTTCTCTTAATCTCTCGATTATTGGAGGCGATCCACCGTAATGATGAAGGAAAATGGATCCTTGCTCCAAGTGAGCGTCCATCCCTCGTTGCGGAGTAGGATGAAATCACTCTCTTCAACTAGAGAACGGTTTTGATTATGAATATGGAAAGCTAATCTAGAAAACACATACCACTTGCTCGAAAACCTCCTCTTTCCGAATTGATCTCCCTCGTTCCGGTTGATGGACTCGACTATGACGACTCGACTTTATTCAAGCCGGAACGATTTCTTCGTTGCCTTCAACCTTCAGGTTGTCATAGGCCTGGTGTAGAATGAACGAAAACATCTATCTGGCGCCTCTAATGGTCGATCGAGTTCGCACGAGTCGAAAATCTTGTGAAGATGAAATATTAGTTGTGGAGAGATCACTGTATCGGATTACCAGTAAAGTGTGAACCACAAAGTATCCAAAGCCAGGTCTTCATCAACAAGTCAACTGCTCCTTCACATGTTGAGCAATGTTGCAACTTTTTTGATGCGTATTTGGTGAAGTATTTCGTTAGAAAGGCAATAAGCACTTGTTTCCTCAAAGAGGGAGTAATCCTTTGATAATGTGACTCTATTGTTCCGTAACAAATGAAGACGGGATTATAGTCAGTACTATAATCGTCGAATACCACTTGACAGTGCCACCAAAATATCAACTGCCATGCGGGTATTTAGACTAACGGAGTTGAGCACGGGGAGATACCTCAAACTTGGGTAATTAAACCCTTATTAACAAATATAAAGTTCACCAGCTTAATATGAGATTCTAATTATGGCAAACGTTAAGGATAAAATACGTTTAAAGTTTTGGCCTAGATAAACTGAAGTCAATGTGACTATGGCGTTGATAATGAGTGAATCTAGAAAGCAGGACTAACTGCATGAAGCAAACGATGAACAGTGACGCGCGATTCATCGTAAGAAGGAGATTACCAGCTGCAATTTCTCTCTCCTTTTTCATACATGCAGCTGCAGTCTAAAGCATGCAGAAAAAAGACTAGCTGCTGCGCTTGAACACTTACATTGCAAATAAGATTTATAGATTTATAGAATATACGAATTGTAAAAATATCGGTCGAGTTTCTCGACATGTTCATAACGAAACTTTTTGCATTTTGTCCGCTAATAATTACAGAAATGCAAAACGGATGGCGTTTCAAAGGATTGGAACCTGCGAAGCTTCGCCAGTCCAAGCCACTATCAATAGCACCGGCGGACCATCTAGTTGCTTGGCAGAAAGCTCGGGTAATCGAAGGCATCGGTGACAAGCCGTTAGGAAAAATCTTTCATAAGTTTTTCAGAGTGACCGCACTGCAAATTTGAAATGCAGATCAGAACTCACCATATGAAGACGGTAAAGGCGTTTTCCATCGTTTACCAAATCATCACCTTGTTTTGAGATTGTTCCTTTGTAAGAATGCAAGAAATCCTCATAAGCTTGATGAGCAATTTTATTTGCACAGTGTTCACTCGCAGGAAAATGGAAAAGGAAAGGACATGGTAGAACTGCAACAATTTCTAGTAACACTATGCAAAATCGTCATAAATCTCATTACCACTGATACAAGTAATTAAAAAGTGGCAATATCATCAACAGGTCACTCTTACTTTTATTGATATGGGCTTTAAGAATATCACATTATTCACAGTGGGACATCAATCATACAGGCAATAATCAGCGTGCGGAAATAATTTTCTTCATGTATATTATGTCAAAAAATGATAAGTTCGTCGTCAAAATGATTGTTTCAAGGATTTTCCAAGAAAAAAATCTATGTAAGGGCAATAGTTAGCTGAAAAACACTTCATAAACCGGCATATTTCAAATATATACATTCATCATAGTAGCCTACAACACAACAATGCACACCCCGAAGCACAAGGACAAGATTGGAAATGCAATATCGAAGAATTCGTCACAATGAGCGGAGGTAGAGCGGTCACAAAGTATCGATAACGTTCTGCTAAGCTGTGCGGAACAATAGCATGGACAACAGAAACAAAAACAGACTTTGTAGTATTACAGAATTGTGAAATTCTGGAAAAAGCGGCAAAAATTGCACATTCTAGTTGTGCTTGATAGATAGGGTGTCCGGAAAGACCCTCTTTGGCACAGATTTGGGAATCCAAATTACAACAGATAATCGCTTTCTCAATCTGACATTCTGTAGCATCGGCTCCCCTGAAGAAAATATATGAAATGGAGGAGCGATGAATAATTGCATTTGTGTTTCATCCACAACAAAGGAAGCTGAGGCCCCTAGCAAACACAACTTTCTACTCCTGCTCCACAAAAAGGAAGCACTCAACGAAGAATGGAAAAAGTGAAAGGGAATCCTTCCGAACACATTCATGTGCAAAAGCAGGAACAAATATTCTGTTAACTTAGGTCTACTCTAGCAAATGCGACCAGAACGTAAACTGGAACTGGTGACTTGAGTGGATTACGGAGACAAGCATATGACCATTACCTTGGAAAGTCTTGACTATCGTCGTCTCTGAAAAAGGTCTTGGTCTAGAGTGATGTCAAAAGAGGGCACGCTCTTGGAAAGAAAAAGAGATAGAACAGTACTTATGCAGTTTAGACCTACACATAAATAAAAAATTTTCTTATTGAGAAACTGACAAACTTTGCCAAACTGACTGTTAAAAATTTTACGTAAGAAAAAAGGTAATGATAAACTTCGATCTACAAAGTTGAGAGAAATTCGAGGAATCGAATTGAAGTGAAAGAGGGTGGAAAAAGGAAATCAATTGTCGAACGTAGAAAATGGCATTACGTTTGACTATCACACTCACGTTTTGGCATTACTGGAACATTGAACTTCTGCGAAACCGCTTGTCTTTGATAATCGAGAGCCACTTACGTTCCGAAAATTTGTACCAGGATTACTTTTTGTCAACGACTACACGGGAGTGAAAACAAGGCCCAACCCGAAGCATGTATACGAAAAGGTGGAAGAGGATAAGTGATGGCGGTAGAGAGAGGGGGGAGGAGGAGAAGGGTGGAGGAAGCTAACTAAAAAAAATTTCCGCTATATCTCGGTGGTAAAAAAAGCGGACACATCATAACTTGCTCTCAGCGCGGAAAAAGGAGAGAGAAGAGGAAATGGAAGAAGACCAGACTGTCAGGCCTCAGGAAGCGCATATGTAGCATGTAAATATGTAAAAAAGATATGAAGTGAAAATTAGTCCTCATTCTTCAACTGCGAATCATCAGTCCGTAGCTGCGAATTTCATGAAATTGAATATACGACTGCTTCCGTTCGTATATGAACCCGAAAATCAACAACACAAGTGATCAGCAATTTTCAATGTTGACTACAATTCATAACAATGAAGCCTATCGATCCAGCCTTTCCTGAATCACGTACGCCATTTTATCCAACCCATAATGCCACAGCATTTGTGCCAGTTGCAAATCTTTGACAAAATACTACGCTGATCTTGCTCCAGAAAATAGTTACTGGTCCGCTACTTGTGGTCTCCATCGAGCAGAGAACTCAAACCGGAAAGAGTTTGCCAGGTCTCGACTGACAACCGGACTTGTCACGAACAATAAAAACCCATATAGGGAAACATGCAGTAATTCAAGGAACAGTAATAGACAATTTTTGTGGCAAGTAATGCGGTTTAATCAAAGTAAATTTCTAAAGATCACCCGCAGTCACCGATAGAGGTCAATAAGTATAAAAGGAAAAAGAAACCAAAAAAAACGAAATGAAGAAAAGATGCCCAACATCAAAACTAAAGACTGAAGGACAGAAAAAGATTGCAATCATGTCATGCTTATAGAACTTGCCTGCAGTTGCGTCAAATATAATGCTCTCTTCGTCTCGATCTGTTTCAACGGAAATGGATTCATGTCATTGAAGGCGACCTGGAAAATGGTTTTTACGCTGACAAACACTATTTACGATGGGAAATCTCGAGTGTAAAATGACTTGAGATTGAAGCATAACAAGAACTTGAATTACCTGAGCTAATGACTTGTAATCTGGCACAAACTGTCGTGGCTTGCTAAGACAAGCATGTACTGTACTGACAGTCTTACTTTGAAGAACGGCTGGTTCGCACAATTTCAAAATGGCTAATGCAAATCGGAACAGCGACTGCAAAGGAAGATATGAAGAACGGAACAAGAAACTATAGAAAAACTACCTTGTTTCCTTCATAAAGGAATACGTCAAAGATAGGAAGATATATCTGATGAGGAAGAACATCTACGCAGCATGTCAGGAACCAGCTGAGCGCAAACAAGGACAAATCGACTTCAAACTGTCGCAAATGGGCCGCAAGTCGTGGAAGTTTCTCATTCACAAGATCCCGAAGTACCTATGAGGAGAATACAAGTTATGTTTTGAAATGTTTCGAGGGGATACGCTTCTAGCAGCTTCACTAGCGCTTAAACTGTGATAACATGTGAAACTTTAAATCAAATGAACTATCGGACTTTCTTCAAAAAATGGTAATCTCAACAATTTATTACCTAATCACCTAACTATGTCTAAAAAACGAGTGAGCTCAAGCAATCATAACAAACTCACCTTTTGATCTGCGACAGCTCCAACAAGATTACTAGCGTAATAATTTGGCGGCTGCAACTCTGTAAAGGCTATAAGAAACCAGAACGCATCTTCTTCGTCCAAGTACAACAACGCTACAGCAGCAATTCGATTCAAACCCTCAAAAGTGGTCATTTTTCAGAAGATATCACCAGATCGTATAACCCACCTGACAATAGCCAATGACAGTGTCATGGTTTCTGTATGCATACAGTACCCTTCGCAGCTGTTTCACCTTTTCTGAGTCTGGATCGGCGAACATTCGGTTTGCAGGTAGAGTTCTTATGAGATCGAGATCAATCTAAAAACAGCAATTACTTTGTAAGAAGCATCCAAGACGCAAGTGTAGCTCAATACCTGTTTGATTGATGTGTCATAAACTCCACTCTCCTGTTGGTATAATGTCTTCCGGAGCATGCTACTGTAATAACCATTGCCAAACTCGGTCAACTTTTCTTTCAGCGTCATTTGAATTAACCTGAACAAAGCGTTACAACACAAACCTAACAAATAACCACTCAACTCACCCCTTCCACATTCGAGCACGGTAAGCTTCAGGTATTCCTGTTCGGACTAGATTTTTCAGCTCTTGGCTCTCGACTAGAGGTCGGCCAACCCAATTCACTATGAAAGCATCCCAAGATTGCAACCAGTGCATGTTTTCTTTGCTTTGTTCCTGCAAAACAAAATTTGGATAATCACTGAAGCAAGATGAAATACCTACAAGTTTTACCAAGTTTGCTGTTTCAAGGCTTAGCGCTCCCCTGTCAGCACATTCCGCAGCAAGATCCAGCAGATCGCCATTGCTGCTGCCCTAAAGTGACAGTATGTTAGTAAATTATATTGATAAGTGGAAGTAAAAGTTCTAATGATTAGAAAAAAGGAACAATAGTTCAAACTAGCTAAGCACCATTAACTGCCAAAAAGTAAAAAAATGAGACATTCTCAAACGCAAGTCACAAGCGCCAGGTTCGAAACTTGTGTCAAGAAAAAAAAACTGCACTAGAAGATCTTACCTGCTCTGTTCTTCCCTTCAAATAAAATCCTAAAGCGTCGGTCCTATCCACAGTATCTTTAGATGTTCGGCAAACTTCGGCCATCAATTGTTGTAGCATGCCAGGCTCCATCACTGAATACGCAAACTTAATCCAGTAGATAAATGTTGGGAAGAAAGTAGAAAAAAGGTAACGAACAGAAAGGTAAATCTTACTTATACTTGGTTTTTCAGGAGATTTGAAATGATTCAGAACCATAAGATAGCGACTCTTCATCTGGTAGTAGCAGCCTTCTACCTCCGCAAATTGACGTTGCCAACTGCGCTCACGCTCTTCTAACGATCGTACCATCTTGTGCAATACTAAAAATTGAGTGAAAATAGGGTAAACCAGCTTTTTTTTAAGTCTCACTCACATACTATTTCCTTGTTAAGGAACTCATTTTGCGCCCTGTAACCTTCAACCAAATCCCGCAATTCGTTAACGTCACGAACATTTTGCTCCTCAAACACAGCTCGCTCAGCTTCTTCACATTTTTGCACTGACTGTGATTCCAACTCCATTCCTTCTTCTACTGCAAAGCCTACAACTCTCATAACTAAGTCGCACAAAAGAACTCGTTATAGCACATGCACTTCCGCAATCATTCGCTGAATAGTTAAAATGTGGCAACGAAAAAACATTTGGCTTCGCTTTCATCACGAAAATAGCGCAAAATAAGCAAAAAATCCAGTACAATAGAGTGATGCTACTGCAGTAATTATCAGCAAAGTGTACTAGTACAGAGAACGACTAACCATTTGGAATCGATCGTTCAGACGCAGATCCGCCACTGCCGCTCTCCTCGCACATCTTCATCAACATTTCCTCTTTCTTTCGAAGATTCTCGCGAAGAACTTCGACGGATTCATTGAGTTCGATTATATGTGCATCTTGAGCACTGAAACGAAGAGGGTGAACAGAGTTCAAAGATAAAACATGTCCAAAGTCACATAACCGGATAAATGTGCCATTTTCAGTTCGTTCATGATTAGAAACTCTAAATGTGCATTTTCTACCTGTCGCAAATGGAGTGCTATATGCTTGAAAATGATATATACAAGAACCAAGACTCAAGAAAAAAAGAGACCGCCCCTTTGCCAATGTGAGACTATTTCTTGTTAGTACTTTACAATGCAAAGCAGGATCTAAATGTGGAAAAGTATCATTAAGCACACTTATCAGTTCTCAAAAACTGGCCAGCAAAATCAATCATTCTCCATATGCTAAAGAACTCATTAGTTCTAGATTTCGTAACAATGAAGTGAAGTACAGTGAAATTTGTGTTAGTCATAATACTGTATCTACACAATGCTATACAACACAATGAATGTGGACAGTTCTTTTGCATTACGAAACAAATTTCTCAATTTATTTTTGCCTGAATTTTGAGCTTTATAGTAGTGTGCTATACTGTTTTACTTCAGTGACGACCTCTGGGAATATGAGAAAGCTCCGATCTCAAAAAAAAAATTAACAATGATAGTAAATAAATTGGGATTCTAATTTGAAATAGGCAAACATGAAGATCCTCAGTCCTATGTTATACTCGAAGAAACAGAAAGTGACTTACATTCCATTCTCTTCCATTCTGCATTAACCTTAGCAGAAGAGAAAATTAATTGCTTTACAGTAAAATCTGAACGTCCGAGAGGAACAACCAGAAGTGCGCCCGATATAGGCAAACATTCACAAAAGGTTATTTCATCGCTTGATCGATATCGCAAATAGATGCGGATAACCGAACAAAAGGATTGGCAAGCTATTTAGAATCATCTGACATTAGTGTAAAAAAAGGTACTCGAAAAAAAAAGCGTTGGATTGCCATGGAAATGTTGCCGATGATTCATAGAGGTAAAAAAAACTAACCTCGAAGAAAGACAGATTTCGATCGCATGAAACTCACATATAAACGCATTGTCGCACATTTTAGAGGGTGACATGACAAATTTTGACAAAAAACTAGGAGGCCGATCTAACCTTTGAGCACAAATTTCATGCAGTAAACATCTGACACGCAGCTGGTAGTGGTAAAACCAGTTTGAGTGCTATTTAAGGTCATCTCAACAGCAAGTTACGACACTTCACTAGCTCCTAAATGCAGTAACCTTTTTCTAATGTTTTACTTACTGGCGCTGCTTGGAAAATCAAGATTACCAAACGGGGAAAGGTATAACACTACAGTCGATCTTCCATTCTTACCAATTAATTAGATTCTCAGAAAAAGCTCATTGAAATGACAATCTTTTCCCCTACTACTGAAATCCTAAGCACCACTCTAAATAACCCTCGCCCCCTCTCCTTGCCCATCGGAATGACATATAAATGGTACGCTCAAAAGTCCATGTATACTGCCTACATGTTCATGATGTACCGCACTTCGGAATGGAAAGGAAGGAAAGGCAGACGCAGCTGGACAAATATCCTATTCATAGAAACTCCAACGTTTCAATACAAGCGGATTACGATAACCAACATGTTACCGTATAGGTTGAAACTTTGAAATCACTTTACTGAAGATTTGTTGCCAAAAAACAGTTCAACAATCACTGAGCTGAACATATGCTTCATTTGTAAGCATTGGAACCATTTTTGATGAATCAAGTAAGTAGCAACAAGGGATTTAAGAAAAAGCTTTAATTAGAGGGCTGTACAGCGTTATCACTCGCAAATACAGTCATGCTAATCCAAGGGCAAAAATTTCACACTGCAGGATGCAATTTATGACTAACCATGGAAGTCCTTTTTTGCAAATGTGTGCCCGTAACAAGGTGTGCGACACGCGCTCTCATGTGACAAACAGAATACTCCTTTTCGAAGAACTTAACATGCAACATAAGCAAAGTTGGCTTTACCTTAATTCCTGCTGCAGATCTCGTATTTGCCTACATCTTTGATTATTTGTAAGCTGCAAATCTGTGATTTCTGTCTCCTTCGCTAGCAGTAAAGCTCTCGTATCATCATCGCAAGCCAGCGTCTGCATTCGTTCCCTAGAAACATAGAGTTATCAAGTGATGCAGAAACTCGATAACATACAATATGTCATTTTGATTTCTCGCCACCAAGAGTCCTCGTTGAAGTTTGTCTACAGCTTCTCTTAAAGCTGCATTTACGTCTTCAAGTTCAATGCACCGTGCAATCATCATTTCAGTTTCCTAAATTACAAAAAATAGAGTAAGGCTCAATTTTTGTGTAAACAAGCCACCCTACCACCCGCATGTTATGATTTTATTGGAACAAAAAGTACAAGACAAACAAAATCCCAACTATGCCCGTGCAAACGTAACCGATAGTGACTAGAATTTCGAAAAGATACATGAGAAAATGAAGTTGGAAGTCGGTCAGGCTTGAACGTGTATTATGCCAGAATGATATGCAGCTGAATGAATAAGCTTCGTTAAAGCCCGACCTATGTAAGCATTGATAAAAAGACAAGAAAGCTGTTGAGTTTCAATTATACTAATGTGCACAAATTCTGTACGAAGAAAGTTCGCCGTCGTGAACGAGCGACAAGTTCGAAAAGGCATTACTTCATTTCTCCTTATGATTATTCACTTTTCAAATAAAATATGCAAGAATAGCAATGGATGGTGTGCAACCTTGGTGGAACCTTTACAAAAAAAAGGAGAACCTAATGAGTTATCACCTCATTCATTGTATTTTGCAAACGAGCTGCCTGAAACATAAGAGGGCAACAAAATACGTTTTCGTCAACATAAATGATAGGGTAAGAGAAAAAGTGAAAGAATGACCTGTTTACAGACTTCGCATTCCTTCTTAAACCGCAAACTACGTCGCGCCATTTGCAGCGCGCGTTTGGGTGCTTCAAGATGCTCATTAGTCTTCTCTAATATCCGTTCTACAACAGATTCTGGGGAAACAACTGCCTGAAATACGCGAAACACAAATAAACCAAGAAGGAAGGTTCAAAAACTCATAAAGCCGAAAAACCGCTGGCGAAACATAACCAAGTCGAAGAAACAGAAAAAAAACACCCAATTTTCACTGATGAACGAAAACTCACCTTCGGCATAGCCATGCTGTGTTCATTGAGCTCACCATTAGTAGTTAGATAAAAGGTAGAACTTGGCGTAGTATATGCATTATCTTCTTCTGAGTCTGCCTGAAACAAAGACTAAAAGCCAAAAAGAAAACACTCAAACGAAAGATAAGTGGACAACGTTTCATGACACACAAGAATACAACAGCTTGAAAGATTATGACAGCGAAAAAGATCTACGCAGAACCGGCAGCACACGGTTTCTTGGATGGAAACATCCATCATTCCAGTCAAAACCTGGGGATTTAGTGCTATCACGCGATCATAAACTACACATCAGCGATATTCCAAATGAAAGAATAAATATTCTTGCGGTAGTGAAAACAACAGCTGACGATAACTTGACTACCACATTTGAACTTTTAAAGCCATCTGCTTACGGGAAAAGGAGGATGGAGCAAATTAATGGGCTAATCACGGCTCGCACTGATGTGTGAGAGCTACCACTAATTAGAAACTAAACAAAGCAAAGTACAAAATAAAAACCCACTTCATTAATATCGAGACCATTCAAAAGACTGTCAATCCTAGGTCGACCATCATCAGTGGACGTTGATGCCGAATCGCTAACAGGTCCCAAAAGGTCATCAATGAGATTTTGAGCGGACTCTGTTGGTGAGGGAACGGCGGGTAATGAAGGTTCAGAAGACATTGAGACAATTTCCTGAAACTAACTTTGGAAATCGAAGGGAATCTCATGAAAAAGGGAAGTTTGAAAAGACACAAGGGAGAAAGTTTGATGAGGAAAGTGCACCCAAACTCACATGCGCAATCTCATCATTATTCACCGCTTGAACGCTGCGAAGACGAGCAGCTTGTAAAACTTGCATCCATTCATCCCGTAATTTGTTCGATGAGCATTCCAAAAGATACACATCATTACCGGACCTGTGGATAGAGTGCTTTCATGAACCCAATTCATAAGATCGTCATTTAAATGAAAAGGCTTCGACATGAAAAGGCTTTATGAGAGCGTGAGTAGAAAAGTGCAGTCCATGGCAAAGTGCAATCCACGCTCGATATGGAAATGCGCGCTGCGCCGAGATAAGCGCACGCGACCAAATTGGCAATGAGATTCCTTTAGAAAACTGCTCAACTATTTAAAAACAGGGAAAATGTTCTTTTTTTCAGATCACGTAAAACTACCAATAACAGTAAGAAAAGACACCTTGTCTAAACAGCAGCCGTACGTACCCACTACATTCATCTCACAAAAATGTCTTTTTATGGTGGTGCCGCTTTATAAGGCATGTATAACACACAAACTGTATCTTCCAATCCTATATGGCAGCAAGTCAGACAAGCATGACAATTTAAGGTTTGGAACATGCGCGCTATGTGGAGCACTACCTGACAAATCGTTAAATTGATTTAGCACGGAGATCCTTCACGGTAGAACAGGCTTACTTGAGACTCATCTTATATATAAAGCTGAATGTCTGTTTGTCTGTCTGTCTGTCTGTCTGTATGTCTGTCTGTCTGTATGTCTGTACGTATGTTCCGAATAGAAAATTCCATTTCTGAACCGATCCGGACCAAACTTGGCACACGTACACTTCGGGCCCCGGCGGGTGTCATAGGCTACTTTTCGTCATCGATCGATATCGATTTTATTGATTTTTATCGATTTTTTTGCTGAGTTCACCTACGGGGCTGGGAGTTGGCACAGGGGGGTAATCGAGCATGGGGATTCCGAATACAATATTGGTTTTCAGGATTATCGATTACTTTTATCGATTTTATCGATTTTTTGCAAAGTTTGAGCTACGGGGCTGGGAGTTGGCACAGGGGGGTAATCGAGCATGGGGATTCCGAATACAATATTGGTTTTCAGGATTATCGATTACTTTTATCGATTTTATCGATTTTTTTGCAAAGTTTGAGCTACGGGGCTGGGAGTTGGCACAGGGGGGTAATCGAGCATGGGGATTCCGAATACATAATTGGTTTTCAGGATTATCGATTACTTTTATCGATTTTATCGATTTTTTGCAAAGTTTGAGCTACGGGGCTGGGAGTTCGCACAGGGGGGTAATCGAGCATGCTGATCATCCCCAAGGGGGGTGATCAGCATGCTCGATTACACCCCTGTGCCAAATTCCAGCCCCCTAGCTCAAAATTTTAAAAAATCGATAAAATCGCTAAAAGTAATGGACGATCTTGAAAACTAATATTGTATTCGTAATCTGCATGCTCGATTACCCCCTGTGCAAACTCCCAGCATCACAGGTCAAACTTTACAAAAAATCGATAAAATTGATAAAAGTAATGGACGATCCTGAAAACTAATATTGTGTTCGTAATCAGCATGCTCGATTACCCCCCTGTGCAAAATCCCAGCCTCGCATGTCAAAATTCACAAAAAATCGATAAAATCAATAAAAGTAATCGATAATTCTGAAAACTAATATTGTATTCGGAATCCCCATGCTCACTTCCCCCCTGTGCCAACTCCTAGCCCTGTAGGTGAACTCTGCAAAAAAATCGATAAAAATTGGTAAAATCGACATCGATCGATAACGAAAAGTGGACTGTGACACCCGCCAGGGCCCGAAGTGTATGTGTGCCAAGTTTGGTCCGGATACGGCGGAGCCGGGTAAGCCAGCTAGTCATTTATAAAAAAAAAAGGCTGAACAGCTGTACTGGCCCTGATTACAGAAGCTTAAATAATGTATATACAGCATTTTACATGTGGCTGGTGAAAGTAACTTATCGTGTAATACTTCAGCAAGACCTTGCAGATAAAACAGATCAGCTCATTTAATCAGGAGTATCCCAAAATTCCCCGCACCCTCATAATTATCCACTTAAGTCGCATGTTTATATATCTACTGCTGACAACAATGACATCAAAAACGCTCATCAATCAGGAGACTATATGATTGAAACTTTGTTGAAGGACTTCTTCGAGATGACTGACTGCTCATTAAACTGATTGTGAGCTTGCACATGGGCTGTTTTGCTCAGACTACGGTAGCATCACGTTGAAGATAAAGCAATACCATAAGATCACAAGAAGGTAGGTTTAAAGCCCATGAATGCCGTAGCAGTAAACGCTATGAAACCGTGATGCTGTCAAACATCTTTTCTTATGAAAAAAGGTAAGCTGAAGCAAGTCCAGCAACAATATAGTATCATTGAGTTAGCTATCAACTATGATCACGTTCCGAATACGGCTTATCATAACAATGAGGAATAGTAGGATCCATAACGTAAGAAATATGAAGATGCCAAAAAGAATATAAAAACATGTAAGAGTAAGAATTCCCAATTAAAAACGCTTACAATACGTGAAACCGTCCAGTTTCTCGTGGATCATAAGTGAGAGCCATGCAGACTAACGCAACCCGTCCAACACATTTTAACGAATCCGCATCCTTGTACCAATATAAATAAGGTGATGAATCGTCCACAACATACCAGTATCTACGCCGATTAATTAGACCCATAGCTCTGACTTCTATCTGAAAATCGCTGTTTTCAAATTTTTAATACAGAAACCGAATCTCACTCACTAAAGACATGTATCCCGCTTTACATGTAGTAATTACTTTAGGGGTGGTTGTGCTGGAAGATGAGACGGACGACGACGTCATTATGCAGTCGTCAATGTCTTCACCCCACAGCTAGCCTAAAAAGAGCCTTAGTTTGAAAAATATAAGCCGACAGCAGTAAAAAGTAAACAAAAAACTTGGAAAAGCGACGGAATAAATCGATAAAGTACGACGCGGAAATAGACGGATACATATATGACATGACCTATTAAATTGTAGTGTTATATTTTCTGACTCGATTCTGTGGTAAACTAAACCGAATCGTGTATTCTGTGGTATAAACTATACCGAACCAACTTATTGAAATGTTATTGATATGAAGTTCGAAGAGAGTTGGCAACAAGAAAGAAGTGAAACAAAAACTCAGGAGTCTGGAGCTTGAAATCGCCAATATCAAATTTAACAATGCTTAAAAAAGCTCAAGGACCACCTAAACAATAAAAAATGAGCAACTCTGTGTTGATGTCTACTTGAAGACGTAATAGCACCAACTGCACACAATCAATGTCACGACATGGGATCGTAAACAGTAACGTAACGAAGAAGAACGGGAGCAACTGACTGTAACAGTTGACATATTGATCGATTACTAAAACGAAGTAGTGACTGCTTTGGGAAAGCTTCAATCCATCATAGGATCCTGCTATTGCATTTCGGACCGGTTTAGCGGTGAGCAAAAACTTGACGATGAGTGGATACTTCGAGGTCAAAAGAACAGACTTGAAATTCAACTCATACATTGAATGTATCGAAAATAGAACCAACGGCGATAACGACGAGTCATTTTTCCACAAGTTATAGACAAATTAGGTCTGAAGGAGACAGATGCACAAATTCAGATTAAATCGCACTTGAACACCTGAAAATCACGAAGGTCATGCTAAAGCAAACGATCCTCTTGCCGTAAATAGAAAATCGAAAAAGCGCAGCACGCATATGATGTGTAAATAGAACATTGAATAAATGCTAGAATGGAAATGCTAAAAACATATCGATTGTGAAAATCACAACTATCGTGGACGAAATGAACAAAAAATTGTTTTGTCTGGAAGCTAGCGATTAGAATAATAATGCCGCAAAATGTGTAGAAATGCGTTTACACTTGCCCAACGTGCCAAAGTGGATCATTCAGTTGTGTATCCCCGCAAAAACACGACTGTGAAGACTCGTGGAGAAATCCGTAGGTGTAAGACAGCATTCATATTGTCACTCTTAAGATACATACTTTTTCCACGTGGTCGAGAAATGGAAATGAAAATGCAATGAAATGGAAAAGGTCTGTGAACACGAAGCGACAAGACTATTCTGACCAGATAAACAGCCTTCGTAATAACCACCATTCAAATAATGTATAGGTTAGACTATAGATGACTGGCAAACGTATAGTAAATCAACAATGCAACAACCTATTCATAGGCTAGTAGCCTCAATAATAGCCATCATAGTGACCCCGCGGTGACGACAACATTTGCGCGGGTATAAATGTCATGCTTGTGAAAGCCGACAACTTGTTCCCGACTTGCGCGCAAAAAAACGGCCATAGAGCGCATTGCGCCTAAAAGGAGTGTGCCAGAGAGTCATTATTTAGACGCAGATGTCTGCAATTAAACGGCACCATACTGTCGTGAAACTTCTTAGCCTCCTTGTGAATTTATTTGCGGGCACTGTTTTGGATCCCTGTCGCAACACTCGAAAAAACTTGCAACGACATCCTAACGAGCGTTTTCACGCTAAACGACAAATGGGCTTCTGCAGCAATACTATAGCTCTCCGATTCATACGCCATAGTTGATACACATGATCCCCGTGATCCACTTGTTCCACCCGAATTATGGTGCATCCCCCAGAATGGTTCCTATATGAACGACAACTGGTTGTCTTTCGATCATTTTGACATGTCAGCTCCGAATAAGCGTCTTAAATTTGCTGGAGTTAACGTGTTAAGACGATCGAAAGGCAGCTGCGTTGATGGTTCATATGGGAACAAATCTGAGGGATGCACGATACTTGATGCGCCTGAGCCACTTCGTGTAAAACGCGTTTGGCCTCGGGCATACTCCACACGATTTCAGTCGCGACGCGATTTGGCAATGCTTCAATTGTTTATAATTCATCATAAGCTCACTATGAATGTACAGAGCGTAAGTCATACATACAGTGAGTTTGAATTCCGCAAAAGTTGCATTTTAGGGGACCCGTCATACTTCGCCGAAAAAAGCCCAAAGAAGCCCGAAAAAGCCCAAAAAAGCCCGAAAGCGCCAAAAAGAGCCGGAACACTTCTCGCACATTTGGTGCTAGGGCATATGGGTTGATTTCGCAATCGAGCCTTTTTGTCATTTTCTGTCCTCCGCATGATAAGATAATGTCAGAATTCTACCAAAAGTTCTTTTCTACATTCCGGCTCTTTCTGGCGCTTTCGGGCTTTTTTGGGCTTTTTCGGGCTTCTTTGGGCGCTTTTGGGCTTTTTCGGGATTCTTTGGGCGCTTTTGGGCTTTTTCGGGATTCTTTGGGCGCTTTTGGGCTTTTTGGGCTTTTTTGGGCTTTTTCGGGCGCTTTTGGGCTTTTTTCGGCGAAGTATGACGGGTCCCTAGGACATCTGGCAAAATGCCAGATCGCGTAGCGATCGAAATCCCGGGAAGTATGCCCGAGGCCTTTGAAGTGTTTTCATTTGTTGTCGCGTACAGCAATTTTGCGTAACAATATTTTTTTTACCACGCGACGCCAAATGACATAGTGATGATGGCTTTAACCCGAAGCGGATCAAGCCGGACAAGTGTGTCAAGTGGATGAACTATGGCGTGTGCCAAGTCTTGCGCGCATTGGTGCAAATACACTCAGAATCAATTGCCGTTGCACCGTACAGCAAAAAGCTAAACTCTTCTTTTTACACCGTATCATGTTGATTCTGTAGTTTGAGTGTGCTCATGTGACTGTGAATCATTCCACTGCGTTCGCTCGTAGCGTGCGGTCCGTTTTTTAGCGTGCTCTTACCTTTCTCTTCTAGTGAGCTAGATTTATCTTTTCAATTTCATTATTTCTTTCTGCTTTGTCATCTGCCTCAATCGTTGTGTTTACTGCACGTCGATTCTTTTTTTGGGGTGGTTTTCTTTTCATTCTATCTTATTGATTCTTGTCATTTTCTCCAGTTTGGGTAGATCAAAACGATGCCGGCAAAATCAATTCGTAGCAAAAGAACAGCCGGGTCGCTCCCTGTCAATTCTTCAATAGATCGTACCCAAAATGGAGTTCACAGCTCTACCGCTGACGACACCAGTTACAGTCAAATGACTACCTTTGATCTTCTTCATTCTATCATAGAAAGGAACACAGACCCTGTCATTGGCAGGATGTTGAGTGTACTTTCTGATAAGCTGCACGAAGAAATTCGTAATGCAGTGGAAGAAGAGAAAAGGTCCAGAACTGTTGTCGTCAGCGGTATAGCTGAACCACCCGAAGGTCTTCGGGCATCCGAACGCGCGTTGGATTTGAAAAAGAAGGTGGAGGATGTATTTGATTCACTTAATATAGACTGTATCCCGAGTGAATGTTATCGCATTGGGAAACCTGGCAATCGTCCCCGCCTTGTGAAGGTGGTACTCCCATCAAGGTTCTACTGGAGGTCCGCCCTATCAAATGCTCACCTCCTCCGTTCTTCCGGTTTTTCTAATATCTTCATACGTCGCAGTATGACCGAGGAAGAACGGAGGAGGGAATTTGAGCTCCGCCAGCAGGCACGGGAGCGGAACAAGGGGAAGCCAGAACGTGAGTGGGTTGTCTATAAGGGGCAGCTTGTACACGTTTCTGAGCTTCCCCGTAGAGCCTCGGGAAACCACTGATTTTGCACGGTGCCGGAACTGATGCCAAGGATACTTTAAAGTGTTTTTTGTTCAATTCCAGAAGTATAGTAAACAAGATAGACCACCTCCACACCTTTTTGTGCCGACAAAAACCTGATCTATGTTTCATTACTGAAACTTGGTTATCACCCAAAATACTTGATTCGGAAATTTTGTTTGATTTGCCATATACGATACATCGTACCGACAGGAAGAAACGAGTGGGAGGAGGTGTGTGCTGTTTGATTAAAGGTGATATTTGCATAAAAAGAGTTGATCATTTTACAGTTTCAAAGATTGACGTAATATCGATCGAACTTTTCTGTTCCTCTGGCTTCAGTCTACTCAAGTTTATCAATATATATCGTCCACCTAATTCAACGCAGTGCGATGACGAGCAGCTTTTTGAACTTTTAGTCAATTTGACATCTTCTCATTCCAGTGCTGTCATTATTCTTGGTGATTTGAATCTGCACATTGATTGGGAAAATCTCAAATCGCTTGATCACAGTTCTAATTACCTTCTCAAATTTTTTGTTGACTGTGGTTTCCAGCAGTTTGTACGTAAGCCAACATATGGTGATCGTGTACTTGATCTGATTTTTTCTACCACACAGAATGTAAGTAATGTTGAGATATATCCACCTATAGCTTCTGCTGACCACAACGTCGTTGGATTTCACGTTGAAGAGGCTTGTTCAGTCCAACCTATGCTTCCTATTCCTGACTTCTACAACTTTGATTACTCCAACCTCAACGAATTCTTCTATAATGTTGACTGGACGCTCATTTTCGAAAATTGTTCTTCTATGGATGAACTTTATCGGAGTTTTTGCGCCAAAGTCTATGAAGGTCTGGCTAGATTTGGATGTTTGAAAAATCGCAACTTTCTCGGTTTCCGATACCCGCAACATATTTGTGCGCTGATTAGCCAAAAACGTAACCTCTTTGAAACACTCAATAATCCTTTATCCGATTACCTTTATAAAAAGGTTTGCTCTGATTTAGATTTTCATCTGAAGAAATTTCTGTCGAATTATGAACGTCGATTGTCCAACAAAACTCCAAGGAATTTGTTTGGATATATACGGCGTAAATTGCAAACAAAGACTAATCTTCCCATTCTTCGTGGTTCAAGTGGTAATATTTGTGGAACTGATGCAGAGAAAGCGGAAGCTTTAGGTGAATATTTCGCCGATGTATTTTCAAAGAAAGAAGATTTTGATGATCGTCTTACGTACGACTCCTGCAACCACAATCGAATTAGTATGATTAATTTTGATTCTGCTGATGTGAAAGCTATCTTGAAATCTCTTAAAATGTCTTGCACAGAACCTTACGATGGCATTCCTCCCATAGTATACCGAAACTGTGCGGACACTCTTTCGCAACCTCTTTCAAATCTATTCAATTTATCCATTGCTTTTGGTAATATGCCTAGTTTGTGGAAGGAGGCCATGGTGACTGCAATCCCAAAAACTACTTCTGCTACAACTGTCTGTGATTTTCGACCCATAAGTCTAACACCCACTCCCATCAAAGTTATGGAAAAGATTATCAGAAGGAAGTTGCTCCGTGTGCTGCAAAAATTCTATGTAATTCCTCATGAACTGCATGGTTTTGTTCCCGGAAGGTCTACTACGACCAACTTAGTGAAGAGTGTTTTTGACTGGAGAAAAGCCCTCAATGCCGGTATGTCGGTGGATATTATCTATGCCGATCTATCTAAAGCGTTTGATAAAATTCCGCATTGTATACTTTTGTCGAAACTTCAAAATTATGGGATTACTGGCAATCTTTTAAAATGGTTCGAATCCTATCTTGAGAACAGATACATGACAGTCAGAGTAGGGCAGTCATTCTCCAAGAGATACAAATGTACTAGTGGGGTCCCCCAAGGTGGGGTACTCTCTCCATTACTGTTTCTGATCTTCACTATTGAATTACCTGCCCTATTGAATGTGAATGGAGTGAGTGTTCAGATTTATGCGGATGACATCAAGCTGTATGTATGCTATAATGAGGAAAGTCATC